GAGCGGTTTTTCCGCATCTGAAGACCGAGGAAGGTGGAGGTAGACTGTGACCGGTGCCCGTAGTGGAATTAGTTCCACCCTCCCGCAAGGCTAATGGAAACTGTATTGCCACAACTTGCGTGAACATCTTCGTTTACAGCCTCGGTGTTCTGACCTCAAGAACCCCTTTAGTTAAGGTTGATTCAATGATACAAATATTCAAAGCAACTGCTAGTAGAGTGACACTAAATGCTTTTGTTAAACAACTCCTCTCTATTTGGTGAATATGAACCCTAATATTCGGTGTAACATGTTTTTTTCTGGTGCTTAATGTTTCTCTGATCTTACACTGGCGGATAATACCACGGCTAATGTTACTCTCGATCAAAGTGTATTGTTAAGCATGTTTTTCTTTCGCGTTGTATATAAAATCGACAATATGACTCAATAAAAGGTCCCATGGGCCATCAAAGAATGACTCTTGGTTTCGATAATGTTGTATCGGATCACTGCCGTTGGGTTTGGCAGCTGCATTAGCTCATGTCTTTGACAGTAGACTTCCCGGTAGTAAATGAACCAGTCAAGTGCAGTTAACCAGTAATTTTTGACACTTCATTTAAATTGCTTTAGGGATAAACGAGCTCCACAATTTTAAAGAGATTCGCGGTGAAGTGCCGTCTTCCATTAAAATATGATAACCGCAGAATACGTTGTTTTTTGTATTACTCAAGCGGAGTAGAATCCCACACTTCTGCATCCCTTTATCTGCACATCCTGTTCAAAGACCTTCTTCGTGAACTTCGTTGGCTCATCGCACTTGCAGCAAAATATTTCCTTCACTTCAGTATCTCATTCGCAATACAGCATTTAAAGGGTTTTGCTATTGTAATGTACCACAGTTGGAGCATGGTTACTAGCTTAATATGGATACATACAGTATGGCACGTCCCGCAAATAACTTTCATGACGAAATTAAGCTTGGTAGCTTAGCGTTTATCTGGACAGGTTATTTTGATCAACTGAGTGGATTTAATAATA